GAAAAGTACCATTCAAATAGAGCTATTTGTTGAAATGAGGTAATTACAGTGAAGCGTTTGCCAGTTTGCTGTGTCCAGAAAAACTAAATAGTGCGCTGCTTAAAACCTAAATGGTGTAAATTTTTCATTGAGAGAGATATGTTCTGTATTTTATCTTGATATTGCTTATATGCTTACATCTTTTCATCACATGTGATAATGGCCACATTTTGGGCCATGTATGCAGGTTTGTTTCTCCTATGTTGTAAAAAGTAAAACTAACATCAATTACTAACAAACCGGTTTGTTTTTATTTCAAGTGAATAAATCTAAAAGGCTTTAATGACAAAGAAACTCTCTGTAAAAAATTTAATAAAATCACACAGTCCTGCTCTGATTTGTGAGATACAAAACAACAAGAAATTAATGAGCAATTAAGGCCTTGTAATCTCAGTTTTAATATTTTTATTTAAATGTACAAGTATAGTTAGACAATAATCTCTCAATACAGTTCATAAATGATTTTTTCTGAACAAAAAACATGGAATTCATAAATGATTTCTGTAGATATTTTATCCACACATTGAACATTATCACTGATGAAGTAATATACTGATTAAAATGAAAATGAGCAGTGTTAAAATATACAAAGAAATATTTATAGAGATGCAGTGACAAAGCATTGTACTGGGATCATGACTAAATAGATTTTAACCTTAAACCCATTTTGAATGTAAAAGGTTAGGAACTGAATCCATTTTATTTATTAAGATAATTCTCCTTTATTTTGTTGTTGCATTTCTAGCCACATCAAACAACTACAAATAAAAATTACAGTCATTTACACTGTACAGCATTTCTTCTATAATAAACAGCAGGTAAAATAAGTTGATTCTTGTTTCATTTAGGGTTAAAAAGAGTATACTTTACTTACTACTTACATTTGGCAGGTAGCAAAATTATTCTACTGTTTAAATAAAAAGTTAATATATATTGAATAGATAACTGACTTTGGTTAAAAGGTTTAAGTGTCTATTAAGGTGATAACATTTTTCATATTCTAAATCTCTTAATCTGATAGATAATATTTTACATATCATGAATAATTTTTCGAGCAATATTGAATATCATTACAGTAAGATTTGCACAGAAAAATTAAACATTGATCTTTGTTTAAGTATAAGGCATAGAGTTCTGCTTCAACTGGCAAAGTGTAACAGAGGAGCCAACCCCAAACCCAGCATACAGAGGCTCACTGAACTGAGCTCTGAATCTGTGGATGAGCTCCATTGAATTCGATATTGAATAGAAGGCCAAAGTGTTGCCTGCATAGTCCAGGTACACACCTATTCTTGTGGCCCTTGGAGCACTGGGGAGATCTTTGTCTGCTTTGTTGTGCCAGGCTGAGTACCCTGAATCAGAGCACAGAAGACTCCATGACTTGTCATTATAGCCCAGAAGGCTGTGTGAATTCTTGCCCTTCCGACTGATGCTCTTGTAGGCTACACCTATGGAGAACTCCCCATTCCACTCTGCCTCCCAGTAGAACCTGAAACCAGAAAGAGCCTCCTTGCACAGCACCTGGGAAAAGCCATCAAATCGTTCTGGGTGGTCTGGATAAAACTGGGTTGTTTTCTTTCGGGTGACTCTCTGATTCCCATCTGACAACACAAGTTCCTTGTAGACAGTGTTTGGATCGAAGGAAAGCTTGCAGGCATCTAAAAAAGAAATCAACAGCACATTTCTTCATGCTCATCTGCAATAACATCTTCAACTGACATTACATAATTGCATTGTTTTAAATGGATGTTCTTTTCATTGACACTAAAATATTTTTTATCAGAGATGTTCACGAGTCTTATTTTATAAATTGAATTCAAACCTCATGTCTTTTGCCCCAAAGCTCGAGCCAAACCCTTGGTCTTTAAAGAGCAGGTCAAAGTAAAAACCCAAGTTTTTTGGTCTAAGTGCAGCTAATTTCTAATAAATGTAAAGTCTCATATCAGATTTTTAATATCTTCTTAGCCTAAACCACAGATTTTCTTAAACAGAACTTATCAACTAAAGACAAAGGATGAATATACTTATATATAAACTTTATGCTTTATCTTTAATCATTACACATTTATTTTGATATGTAGAATGTTTAGTCCTAACTACTTTGAATTATTTTTAAAGGTCAAGAAGCACTGTTTCTACAGCAGTGAAAATAAAATAATGTTTTCCTGTTTAAAGAACTTATAGAATTAAATAAGAATTACCTAATCACCGCGGTCAAGTTTCTTAATAGATCAAACAGGAAGTGCTTTTTCAAGAACAAATAGACACGAGAGAGTTTGTGTATTGATTCTTGCTTAACAGAGAGAACAAAAAATGTCCTAAATGTATTTTGCTCATCGTTCATTTAAAGCAGCTTTTCTTTGCTTATCATTAGGAAGTCTTTAACAAACATTAACAAGATGTCCTAAACCACTAGCCCTGTTTCCATCCAACTAAAATTTCAATTTTAAGCTAACTTTTAAAATAAAAAAAACGTGAAAGTGAGAGATGAACGTGAGATGTTTCCATTTGGTTCGATGTGAATCAACCAAGCACCACAACGTTGATGTCGTGATGCATCGTCGTCATGTGCGGCTGTATAAAACAGGAAGTAGAGGGTGCAATCAAGCACCGACCACGGATCAGCAACAGGAGCAAGTTTTAACCAATGTATTGCTATCAAGCAAGATGTTCTTCTGTTAAAATCTCACCCAGAAATGGGGATTTTGCTTCCAACCATGTTTTCACGTATAACAGGACTTTCGCCGAAGAGAACAGCAGAAACAGCTGATCAGTCATGTGGTGTAAAAGTTTGTCACTGATCCAAAAAAAGTGTTTCCATTTCCCGTTTTGCACATCCATCGTTTTTCACAAAAGCCAAAAAAGCATCTGAAGTGAGCATAAAAACTTGTAATGTCTCGCGAATTTTAGGGAACAAATTATATTGCTTGCATCAATTTTTTTACTAATTTGATACTTTAAAATGTGCGTTAGAAAAAGCTGATCAAAATTAATATACTAACAGCATATTTTTGTAAGTACTGTAATGGATACTACCTTAACAATCAGGCATTTGTAAACTGAAAAGTAACTTAGAACATACAATACTAATTTAGTCAAATGATCTTAGTGTAATAATTGACATTCACGAGTCAAATCTGAAGTGTTTATTTTTGTAATTGAGGTTTGTCTTAGCTTTGCATTATCATCTCAGTTTTTGTGACCGAATCATGAAGACCCCCTACTTACATCTCAAGAAGTCTGATCTGGATTTTGGCTCCTGAAAATCAACCTTGGAAGGAACTGTTTGTAAAAAAAAAAAATAAATAAAAAAAACTGTTATTTGACCAGTCATGTTTTTGCTCATAAATTGGCAAATATTGCTGAGTTACTTAAGCCTTACCTTTCAAACGTTTTTCCCCATTTCTTGGCAAAAGTATGTACACAGGTGTTTCACTGACTGTGATGAATGTTTACATTAGTTTGACCTGTCACATGAGTTTATGTACTGTAAGTTATCTGATTTTTCAGCCATATTCTTTGTAGAATCGTACCTGTCTTGGAGATCTTGCTCAGTTCCTTTTTACAGATGTCATCAAGATTTTCTTTCATCTCTATTGCTGTTCTGCTTATTTCTCCAAAGGAGAACTGAGGATTGATCAGGACCTTAGGTACCATGGCCTCGGGAGGGACGCATAGTGTTGGAAAATTCTGTACATCGAGAAAGACTTCCATCAAGATATCTGAAATAAAACTCAAATGCAGTTAATGGTAACCTCGGTCTTCAAGACCCAGTTTTAACCCCTAAATAACTTTGTACACTGAAATGTAGCCAATATGAAAATGGAAAGTAAACTTCGGACTGATTAGCATTAGCATTTTAATTTTTTAAATTCTAAAAGTAAATACAGTATTTTCTTACAGTGGCCTAGTGCTACATTACATTTTTATTTGGAAGTAGGCATTTCTGTCCTAGGAGTAGGAAAATTAGACCCAAACATCCACAGATATTGAAATTACAAGTTGCAAAATCCGGGCAATAGGACCATAATTAACTTCCACATTCACAATATTTGCTACTCTGTGGTACATTTAAACGTTGTAACAGTGACATCAGTGGTCATGTACAAATAATAACAAAAGGTGAAGCATAGAACTGATATAAAAAAAACTTTCAGCGGTTTCTTCATTCCAACTTTCCAGTAACAGTACAAGTGTAATGGAACTCAGCATAAAAGAATATTTGATTTGATTATATAGTTTTTAGGAGTATTCTATGAGAGTGCTTCCCAACCCTGTTCCTAGGACCGCTGTCCTGCATGTTTTAGGTGTTTCCTAGTTGCATCACTCCAGAAAAGAATAGATTATGAGAAGAAGAGTCCTTGACACAGAGAGATATCAGAGACATATCTAAAACATGCAGGGCAGGGGTCCCTGAGGAGGACAAGGGTGTGGAACCAAAGCTCTATGAGATACACCATCAAACAGATATGAATGATCAACTGAAACCTGCAAAAAATGAATGTTGTCTTCTGTTTCCAGGATCTGTCGTAGCTCAGCATCTCGGCGCTGCAGCTCCATAATCTCCTGTTCAAGGCGCTCAACATAGCCTTCAGCCTGATTCATGGCTGACTGCATGTTGGCCATTATCATCTGATTGATTTCAGATTTCCAACGCTCGACTGCCTGCAGCATTTCATGGAAGGTTTTATCACTTTCCGTCTGTGCACGCTGAGCAGAATTCTGAAAAGAAAATCACAAATTTTATTTCCTG